GGGATTGGCCTTCTGGGCTGCAGCTGCCCACTGCCTGCTCATGCTTGGGCTAACGGGACTGTGGGGTTAATTTTGGGAATTACGGATTCATGGAGGGGGTCAGGGCAGGTTTGGGAGGGGGTCCTGATACCTGCACCCCAAAAGTCCTCAGCCAAGAGCCTGCGGGTGACCATTGGGGAGGCTTTCGAGCGGCTGCACCGGCTGCTGCGGGAGCGGCAGAAGGCGATGCTGGAGGAGCTGGAGGCGGACACGGCGCGGACACTCACTGACATCGAGCAGAAGATCCAGCGCTACAGCCAGCAGCTCCGCAAGGTGCAGGAGGGCAGCCAGATCCTCCAGGAGCGCTTGGCCGAAGCCGACAAACACGTCTTTTTAGCCGGTGTCGCGTCCCTTTCCGAGAGGTGGGTGACACCGGGGTGACACCGGGGGGTCCCCCGAGTTGTGTCCCCGCCTCTTCTCCATCGTTTCCCCTTCGCAGGCTGAAGGGGAAGATCCACGAGACCAACCTGACCTACGAGGACTTTCCCACCTCCAAATACATGGGGCCGCTGCAGTACACCATCTGGAAATCCCTTTTCCAGGATATCCATCCCGGTGAGGGCTGTGGGGATGCGCTGGCTGCGGGGCTGGGGGGGTCCGGGGGAGGGGTGGGGATGGGGATGTGGCAGTGAGGGGTGGGGACATGACCAATGAGGGATGAGGATGCACCAACAAGGGATAGGGGCATCACCAGTGACTGAAGGGGACCCATTGGTGAGGGGTGGAGACATCACTGGTGAGGGATAGGGACACACCTGTGAAGGATGGGGGACATCACTGGTGAAGGATGGGGCCGTGCTGGTGAGGGACAGGGGGACATCATTGGTGAAGGATGAGGATGGGGACATCACTGGTGAAGGATGGGGCTGTGCTGGTGAGGGACAGGGGGACATAACTGATGAGGGATGGGAATGGGGACATCACCAGTGAGGGATGGGGACATGCTGGTGGTCTTCTCCACACTGTGGTGTTTTCCAAACCAGTGGAGGGGACATGACCAATGAGGGATGAGGATGCACCAACAAGGGATAGGGGCATCACCAGTGACTGAAGGGGACCCATTGGTGAGGGGTGGAGACATCACTGGTGAGGGATAGGGACACACCTGTGAAGGATGGGGGACATCACTGGTGAAGGATGGGGCCGTGCTGGTGAGGGACAGGGGGACATAACTGATGAGGGATGGGAATGGGGACATCACCGGGGAGGGCTGGGGACACGCTGGTGAAGAATGGGGATGTGCTGGTGGTCTTCTCCACATTATGGTGTTTTCCAAACCAGTGGATGAGGGACATCTCTGATAAGGGATGGGGATGTCACTGGTGAAGAATGGGGATGCACTGGCTGCAGGGCTGGGGGGGTCCCAGGGAGGGGTGGGGATGGGGATGTGGCAGTGAGGGGTGGGGACATGACCAATGAGGGATGAGGATGCACCAACAAGGGATGGGGGCATCACCAGTGACGGAAGGGGACCCACTGGTGAGGGGGGGAGACATCACTGGTGAGGGATAGGGACACACCTGTGAAGGATGGGGGACATCACTGGTGAAGGATGGGGCTGTGCTGGTGAGGGACAGGGGGACATAACTGATGAGGGATGGGAATGGGGACATCACCAGTGAGGGATGGGGACATGCTGGTGGTCTTCTCCACACTGTGGTGTTTTCCAAACCAGTGGATGAGGGACTTCACTGGTGAGGGATGGATTCCAAACCAGTGGATGAGGGACATCACTGGTGAGGGATGATGATGTGCTGCTGAGGGAAGGGGACGGCGACATCACCGGTGAAGAATGGGGATGTGCTGGTGGTCTTCTCCACACTGTGGTGTTTTCCAAACCAGTGGATGAGGGACATCACTGGCGAGGGATGGGGATGGCGACGTCACCGGTGAAGAATGGGGATGTGCTGGTGGCCTTCTCCACACCGTGGTCTTCTCCAGACCGGTGGGACAGAGCCATCTGCGCTGGGTCTGGGTGCTGCGTTGACACTTGTCCCCACCTTTTCCCCATGTCCCCCCTCCAGTGCCAGCAGCCCTGACGCTGGACCCCGGCACGGCTCACCACCGCCTGATCCTCTCCGACGACTGCACCATCGTGGCGTACGGCAACCTGCACCCCCAGCCGCTGCAGGACTCCCCCAAACGCTTCGACGTGGAGGTCTCGGTCCTGGGCTCGGAGGCTTTTGGCGGCGGGGTCCACTACTGGGAGGTGGTGGTCTCCGAGAAGACCCAGTGGATGATCGGTTTGGCCCACGAAGCCGTCACCCGCAAGGGCAGCATCCAAATCCAGCCCAGCCGAGGGTTTTACTGCATCGTGATGCACGACGGGAACCAGTACAGCGCCTGCACCGAGCCCTGGACCCGGCTCAACGTCAAGAGCAAGTTGGAGAAGGTGGGGGTCTTCCTGGACTACGACAAGGGGCTCCTCATCTTCTACAACGCCGACGACATGTCCTGGCTCTACACCTTCCGGGAGCGGTTTCCCGGGAAGCTCTGCTCTTACTTCAGCCCCGGGCAGAGCCACGCCAACGGGAAGAACGTCCAACCCCTCCGCATCAACACCGTCCGCATCTAACGGGGGGGTGGTGTCGTCCTGCCCCCCTCCCCTGGGGTCTTTTCCCGCTGTATGGTGGAGGTTCGGGCTGATCCTGCCCCAGGAACTGCCCCCGGCGCTGGGCAGGATCCGGCCTTTTCATCTTCCCCCCCTTCCCTGCTCTGTCCTGTGCTTCCAGGAGGGTCCCGGCGCGGGGGGAGCGGGGGCCGGGCTGCTGCAATAAAAGGATTTGGAGAGAAGGGGCCGGTGGTGGAGACCCCCGGGGGGTGCGCCGGGGGGTGCCGTACAGTGCTGTGGGGTGCAGCAGGGTGCCACAGCGGGTATTGCACTGTGGTGTGGTGCACCGTGCCATACCCTGCGTGCTGCGGGTCCCGGCGCGGGGGGAGCGGGGGCCGGGCTGCTGCAATAAAAGGATTTGGAGAGAAGGGGCCGGTGGTGGAGACCCCCGGGGGGTGCGCCGGGGGGTGCCGTACGGTGCTGTGGGGTGCAGCAGGGTGCCACAGCGGGTATTGCACCGTGGTGTGGTGCACCGTGCCATACCCTGTGTGCTGCACCACAGTGTGCCCTCCTGTGCCATCGTGTGCTGTGCCACGGTGTGCCCTGCTGTGCCATCGTGCACCGTGGTGTGCCATCGTGCGCCATGCCATGGTGTGCCATTGTGCACCGTGCCACGGTGTGCCCTCCTGTGCCATCGTGCACCGTGGTGTGCCAGCATGTGCCATGCCATGATGTGCCCTGCTGTGTCATTGTGCACCGTGGTGTGCCATCGTGCACTGTGCCACATTGTGCCCTGCTGTGCCATCATGCACTACAGTGTGCCATCGTGCACCGTGCCATGGTGTGCCCTGTTGTGCCATTGTGCACTGTGGTGTGCCATCGTGCGCCATGCCACGGTGTGCCCTGCTGTGCCATTGTGCACCACTGTGTGCCATCATGCACTGTGCCCTGCTGTGTCATAATGCACCATGGTGTGCCATCGTGCGCTGTGCCACAGTGTGCCCTGCTGTGTCATTTTGCACTGTGGTGTGCCATCGTGCACTGTGCCATGGTCTGCCCTGCTGTGCCATTGTGCACCATGGTGTGCCCTGCTGTGCCATCGTGCACCGTGGTGTGCCATCATGAGCCATGCCACGGTGTGCCCTGCCGTGCCATCATGCACCACGGTGTGCCATCATGTGCTGTGCCACGGTGTGCCCTGCTGCGCCATCGTGCACAACGGTGTGCCCTGCTGTGCCATAATGTGCCATGGTGTGCCATTGTACACTGTGCCATGGTGTGCCCTGCTGTGCCATCGTGCACCACTGTGTGCCATCGTGCACCATGGTGTGCCCTGCTGTGCCATCATGCACCATGGTGTGCCATCATGTGCTGTGCCACGGTGTGCCCTGCTGCGCCATCGTGCACAACGGTGTGCCCTGCTGTGCCATAATGCGCCATGGTGTGCCATTGTACACTGTGCCATGGTGTGCCCTGCTGTGCCATCATGCGCCATGGTGTGCCATTGTGCGCCATGCCATGGTGTGCCGTGCAGTGTCATTGTGCACCACAGTGTGCCCTGCTGTGCCATCATGCACCATGGTGTGCCATCATGCGCTGTGCCATGGTGTGCCCTGCTGTGCCATTGTGCACTGTGCCACAGTGTGCCCTGTTGTGCCATTTTGCACCGGGGTGTGCCATGCCACACTGGATATACTGCACCATGGTGTGCTGTGCCATATTGCACCATGCCACGGTGTGCTGGGCTGTGTTTGCTGTGGCATGGTGTGCCATACCATACGTACCGTGCTGTGCTGTGCCATATTGCCCAGGTGGCCAAGGCCACCAGCATCCTGGCCTGTGTCAGGAACAGCGTGGGGAGTAGGACTTGGGAGGTCACCATTTCCCCTGGACTGGGCACTGGTGAGGCCCCACCTCGAGGGCTGTGCCCAGTTTTGGGCCCCTCACCGCAAAAAAAAGCCATTGAGGGGCTGGAGCGGGTCCAGAGAAGGGCAACGGAGCTGGTGAGGGGTATGGAGAGCAAGGACAAGGGTCTGGAGAACTTCTGAGGGAGCTGGGGGTGTTCAGCCTGGAGAAGAGGAGGCTGAGGGGAGCCCTTCTGGCTCTCTCCAACTCCCTGAAAGGAGGGTGTAGCCAGGGGGGGTCGGTCTCTGCTCCCAAGGAACAGGCGATGAAACAGGAGGAAATGGCCTCACGTTGCACCAGGGGAGGTTCAGGATGGAGATTGGGGAAAGTGTTTCCATGGAAAGGGTTCTGAAGCCTTGGACTGGGCTGCCCAGGGCAGGGGTGGAGGCCCCATCCCTGGAGGTGCTCAGAAGCCGGGCAGCCGTGGTGCTGAGGGACACGGGTCAGTGGTGGGTTTATCAGAGGTTGATGGTTGGACTCGATGATCTGAAAGGTCCCTTCCGACATGGACAATTCTGATATTGTGCCGTGGTGACTGTGCCATGCCATGCCATGCCATATTGTGCCACGTCATGCTGTGCCGTGCCCTGTGTGCTGCACCGAGCCGTGCCGTGTGTACGGCACCGTGCCCTGGTGCACTGGGCCATGCCATACGTGCTGTGCCATATGTGCAGGGCCATATGTATGGTATCATGCCATCGTGCAGCACCATATGTACTGTGCCGTGCCCTGTGTGCTGCACCGAGCCGTGGCGTGTGTACGGCACCGTGCCCTGGTGCACTGGGCCATGCCATACGTGCTGTGCCGTGCCATACGTCCTGTGCTGTGCCATACGTGCAGTGCCGTGCCATATGTGCAGGGCCATATGTATGGTATCATGCCATCGTGCAGCACCATATGTACTGCGCCGTCCCCTGGTGCACCACGGTCTGCCCTGCCATACGTACTGCTCCATACCTTGCTGCACCATACTGTGCCGTGCCATACGTCCTGTGCTGTGCCATAAGTGCCACAACACAGTGTGCCATGCCATATGTGCTGCAGCATACTGTGCCATGCCATATGTCCTGTGCTGCACCATATGTAGCGTGCCATGGTGCACCATACTGTGCCGTGCCATATGTACTGCTCCATACCTTGGTGCACCATACTGTGCCACTCTGTACATCCTGTGCTGTGCCATATGTGCCACACCATACTGTGCCATTCCATATGTCCTCTGCTGTGCCATATGTGCCACACCATACTGTGCCATGCCATATGTGCTATGCTGTGCCATATGTACCCTGCCACAGTGCACTGTACTGTGCCACGCTGTACATCCTGTGCTGTGCCATATGTACCACACCGTACTATGCCACAGCATATGTGCTGTGCTATGCCATACATCCTGTGCTGTGCCATACGTGCTGTGCCGTGCCATATGTGCAGTGCCATATGTATGGTGTCATGCCATCGTGCAGCACCATACATACTATGCCGTGGTGCACCATACTGTGCCACGCTGCGCGTCCTGTGCCATATGTATCACACCATACTATGCCACACCATATGTCCTGTGCTGTGCCATATGTACCGCACTGTGCTGTGCCATATGTGCTGTGCTGTGCCATATGTGCAGTGCCATATGTATGGTGTCATGCCATCGTGCAGCACCATACATACTATGCCGTGGTGCACCATACTGTGCCACACCGTATATCCTGTGCCATATGTATCACACCATACTACGCCATACCGTACGTCCTGTGCTGTGCCATATGTACCGCACTGTGCTGTGCCATACGTGCTGTGCTGTGCTGTATGTGCAGTGCCATATGTATGGTATCATGCCATCGTGCAACACCATATGTACTGCGCCGTCCTGTGGTGCACCACGGTCTGCCCTGCCATATGTACTGCTCCATACCTTGGTGCACCATACTGTGCCGTGCCATACGTCCTGTGCTGTGCCATAAGTGCCACAACACAGTGTGCCATGCCATATGTCCTGTGCTGTACCATATGTACTGTGCCATGGTGCACCATACTGTGCCGTGCCATATGTACTGCTCCATACCTTGGTGCACCATACTGTGCCACTCTGTACATCCTGTGCTGTGCCATATGTGCCACACCATACTGTGCCATTCCATATGTCCTCTGCTGTGCCATATGTGCCACACCATACTGTGCCATGCCATATGTGCTATGCTGTGCCATATGTACCCTGCCACGGTGCACTGTACTGTGCCACGCTGTACATCCTGTGCTGTGCCATATGTACCACACCGTACTATGCCACAGCATATGTGCTGTGCTATGCCATACATCCTGTGCTGTGCCATACGTGCTGTGCCGTGCCATATGTGCAGTGCCATATGTATGGTATCATGCCCTCGTGCAGCACCATATGTACTGTGCCGTCCCGTGCAGCACCATATGTACTGTGCCGTGCCGTATGTACTGCTCCATACCTTGCTTTACCATACCGTGCCGTGCCATATGTACCATGCCGTGCCGTGCCATACATACCGCACTGTGCAGTGCCACGCTATACATTCTGTGCCACGCCATCCACACCGTCCAGTGCCCTATGGCGTGCCATATGTGCCCTGCCGTGGTGTGTCACAGTGCAGAGGGGACGGGGTGGGGAGGGGTCCATATAGGGGATGCTGCTTACCTATAGCAGCAATGCCTATAGGGCTGTGCTGTGGGGAGGGGCCAGGGTGCGGAAGGTGGGTGTATAGAGGGTGTTTATATAGGGGGTGGGCTATAAGGGGTATGGTATATACAGGGTGAGCTATAGGAGGGTATGGTATATAGGGAGTGGGCTACTTGCGGTTATGATGTATGGAGGGGTGATATATAGGGGGTGGGCTATATGGGGTATGATGTATGGGGGTGATCTATATGGGGTGTGGTGTCCAGGGGTGTGATATATAGGGATGAGCTATAGGGGGTATGGTATATAGGGGGTGGGCTATATGAGGTATGGTATATAGGGGGTGGGATATAGGAGGGTATGGTATATAGGAAGTGGGCTACTTGGGGGTATGACGTAGAGGGGGATGATATATAGGGGGTGATCTATATGGGGTATGATGTACAGGGGTGTGATATATACGGGAGGGCTATATTGGGATGGTATATAGGGGATGGGCTATAGGAGGGTATGATATATAGGGAGTGGGCTACTTAGGGGTATGATATATAGGGGGTGATATATAGGGGCTGATCTATATGGGGTATGATGTATAGGGGGTGATATATAGGGGGTGATCTATATGGGATATGATGTATGGGGGGTGATCTACATGGGGGATGGTGTCCAGGGGTGTGATATATAGGGAGGCGGTATAGGGGGTATGGTATATAGGGGGTGGGCTATATGAGGTATGGTATATAGGGGGTGGGATATAG